AAAACGTCAGTCGCGCGCGGTGTGCGTATGAGCCGAAGAAATCTTGAAGATATCATGTGCTGCACAGTACACCGACTTTATACGAGCTTATGATGACATTATGAAAAGCCAAAAAATATATATACATTTATATTTATGTACTCACCTGCTCGTCACGATCAAAATGGAATTTGTGCAAAGGTATAGACGTAGACACGCGATCGGACGACAATAACGATGACACGTGTCTTTCGGTACGAAAGAAGAAAAGAAAGAACGAAAAAAAAACGAGATAAAATGCAGAAAAAACATGAAAAAAAAAAATAAATAAATACAGAGAACTTGATTCGAACTCGTAACATCAGCGTCTTGGCATTTGAATGTGCGATACGTGCGTCGAATTTAAAAAATATACCTATACATAACTTTTCGAGTCGGATTATGATTATACCGTATGAACCTTTAAATATATATATACTATACATATAAATAACGTGTACGGGGAACCTTTGAAACGCTTTCCGACAAACGTGTACTAAATATTTTGTTTAGAATTTTTCGCTTAAATTGTTCGTGCTCGTAGTGAACACGCAGGTCCACGTACCGACACGACCGTTTCTAAGTCTACACGGAGGTTAAGGTACATCGAGACACCTGTGTGCGCATGTAACTATACATTTTCAATAATAATAATAATAATAGTAATAGTAAAAATAGTTATCTAGAAATCTGATATTTTCTGATGATTGTGATTGACGAACGAAAGAACAATAATCATTACACATTATTAATTACACACGTAATTACAACACTATTATAGTAGTTAAGAAAATAATGTTATTATTGTTATTATTACTATAGTATAATTCGAATAAAATATATAAAAATATTATGATTCATATTATATTATATCAAATTCACCGATTACTATCTGATAATATCTTCGTTTTTGGACTATAATTTATATTATAATTATAATTATAATTATTATTTTATTTATAGCTTAACGTCGACGACTAATGATACTCCGAACACGTTTTCCGTGTCGAACCTGATTAATTATGTACGACGTTGAGCGCCGGTGTTTCTAAAGAATTTGAAAAACTCGAACATTAAAAGGTCCAACGCAAAACACAATACAGCTGAACATTCCAATAATACCGGACATGAAATTAATAAACGCAAATACGTGAAGAACAAGGACGTTAAAAATTATTATTATCGACTTCTACGTTTTTAAATCCACGTTTTCAAATAAATCGCATGTAATGTTAAACGTAATTTATATATTACATCCAAAAGAGCAAGGAATAAAATACAAACGAATTCAAAAAAAGGGAAATTTCACAATAATCGATTAGAAAAATATAGTTTTATTTGTACAATATTTTTTAGATACTGATCATATATGCGCCATGTCGTACATCATTAATGGTTCAAACCTTTTTTTCCCCCATGAATACATTTTTTTAGAAAGAACATTTAAAAAAGTTATACTGTAATAGATAATAAACAATGTGTAAGTAACATTTGTTAAATTAAGAAACTCAATTATTTTTTTTTTATTTTGCAATACGAATAATAGAATTAAAAAACTTTTAAAATAATATCGGTACGAAAACTGTAAAAACCACAACTGTACATAGTTTGTACTTATTTGATGTAATAATTGATAAAATGAATGAATTTATTATTTTTTTAAATCCAGTATAAATTCGCATTGATAATATAGTGTTTATGTTCATATATTATGAAATCCTGTTGAACCGTTTAATACGTTATCGATTTTAGTCTTGATTGTAAACGAGGAAGTTTAAAAAGTTTTTTTTTTCAAATTATTGTAATTATAAATGTATATATTATATTACATGTTATACGGTTGTACCCCAGAAAAACTGAGAAACAAGAACAAGCGTTTTCGAAAAAATAAAAAATAAAAATCGTAACACGTATACCTAATATTCACGTTATAGCCGAGAACAGATACAATTTTTACGGGATTAATGGAAAATCTATTTTAGTAATATACGTTATCGCCTATATTTTATTTAATCTCTATCGACCGCCGGAATCGAAGGGAACATGTCCGTCTAGGGATTTCAAACTTAATCAAATACCAATCAAGTCTCGTGGTGTTATTATAAATATCGCGTGTTCACACGTGTCACACGATAAATCAATTGAATACAGACGTTCGCCGAATAAACGTATTATCAACGAAAATTCCGGGAAACTCGACGGACACACACCTGGATGAAAAGTTGTGAAAAATCTGCCGCAAATCCGTTTACGCATTATATTCGAATTTGAGTTTACGACGGCAAACAACCGCAACGTATTGGAAATAAATAAACAATCGGGTTTATACATACACACATATAGGTATATGTAACAACGTGTGCTCAACGGTTTCTGATCTTTTGAGTACGAACGTCGTCCCGACGGAACAAATAAAATATGTGCTGTTGTACATAAAATGCAGAACGCAGTACACAACAATATTTACACTAATTGAACATCGTTCCAGGTAGGTATACGAAGAGATACGCAGGTACATTGCTGACAAAAGCACAGAATTCATTGGTAAATTTTGTTTCTTAAATTCAATCAAAACCATGAATATTTTTATGAAAAAAAATGGCGATGCAGTGAAACTTCAACGTAACTACGTATCTTTGAGAACAAAAAAATATCATAGTATCGAGAAATCCGTTAAATAAAATTACTTAAGTATTGATTAACAATGTAGGTCATGGTACTCAAAAATAAGCAGACAATTTCATTAAATAATAGTTTCACTGCATAAAAATTATAATACACATAATGTGTGCGGAATGACGTTTATAACATTCCAATGCCATACCGAATTCGAGTACGAAATTGTATCCATAATGTACGATGAATAACATATGATCTTGCATAACTGCATGTCGACGAATCATGTACACAATTTTTCATCGAACTTCGGTCGTAAAAAATGTTTAAAAAAAAAATAAAAAACAATATCGTCGTTGTTACAAAATCAATACGTCGTATTTTGCTATGTTCAGAATCAAAAACCATAAGTACTATTCTTTTAGTACTTGATTTTATAATGACGTAGTAACACTTCGCGTTGGATAAATACATATCGTTCTCATGAGTTGTACACAGTGAATAAATGACAATATTAAGATATGGAAAAAAATAGAAGAACTATAAATTATCAACCGAAAGAGTAAAAGTATAAAAATTCGAAATTCATAAAATTAATCTTGTATTCACGAGAAAAGAAAAATATCTTACACTTTTAATTTTTTTATCCGTCTTATGCCAAAAAGGGATTAAGTATAAAAGATAAATAAACATGCCAACAATAGTTGGCCAACAGCCATTGTGTCTCCGCAGTGACTTTTATTATTATTATTATTATTTTAAGTTTTAAATAACAACATCAAAACAATATATTATTTTCATTGGATTATAGTTTTAATGTTTACCAAATCAATTTGCGTAATAATGCAACAATAAAGATTATGCAAATAGCAGCGTGCACAAATATCGGACTTTACGAGACGCATAGCAAAAAATGTATTATTTTAGTAAACATAGAAGTTTAATGGAAAGTGGATTAACAATTTGTTGTAAAACAAGGCGCGTACTGGTATCAATCCACAACACGCGCTTTGTCACTATTGTATTTGAAAAAAATAAAAATAAAAAAAAGCAAACAATGGTGATTGGTTGTTAATATGACAGATATTGTTTGATAATATTTAATTGTTAGATTGTCTTTCGAGTAAAAGAGGAAATGTATAAAATTAAATGCCGAAAACTATACTATGAAATTATGAATTATATATAATGTAGTCCAATCAACACTAATAAGTTATGAATATAATATATTTTATATCAATATAAAGCTTAATTAGTTAATATATTTACAATGAGTATATGATATAATAATAAAATGTAAATTTATTAAGATTTTAAAAATAGTTGGAATTTTTTTTTTTTTTAAATGAAATAATTAATATCATATTTTACATTTGTATATATAATTATTCAGTACTTAGGTTTTTGGTGTATTTAAAAATAAAGTAAAAAAACTGAAATGAAAAATGTTGTCCGTTCAATAGAGTTCACAACAAAATGGAATGACTGAAAGTACGAATATACGGACAGTATACATACATATATACATACGTAAAAGAGCCATTTTTCGATTGTAAACGAAAAATGGTCTTACGTTAAAAAAAAAAATTCGATACTTCCTTTGCGCGATATTTTTCGCACAAAGACAAAGACAAAGTCAATAAGCGTTATTCGTACAGTTTGTTATATCATTAACAGACATTGTGTATAATCAATGTTTGGAACGTAAATATATACAGCTATATGGATATATTAGACATATGCAACATGCATGATTGAACTCGTCGAAAATAAATATTATTATCATTATAAAGTATAAATATATTTACAGGAGTAAGTGCCGAAAGAGAAAAACACATTACTCGTTGAACCGTTATTTTCGTTTTATATTTTTTATGAAACACAAAATGATAACATATTTTTTCGAGAAAAGTCTAGCGGACGAAAATGCCCGGAAAACGTACAGTATATCTATGTGCATTATATGCTATGTATTATATTTATGCTACAGATACTTCTAACGTGAGAGAAAAAAAAAACAATCGCATGTAATATGTACATGTCACATCCGTCTAGTGAAACCGATCATTTCCGGAATCCCGAATTGTAATATGTTCATATTATAGTTTTGAAAAAAAATATGTATTCCTAACATTTCAGGTTTGTTATTCCGATAAGGGTGTAATATCCACCCTCTCACTTATAAATGACCTATTTATATAGTGGACAATAATTGAAAAATTGAATATCAGCAGAATCGTAGTAAGAGGAGGGAAGAGGTGTTTACGCCACAAGCGCATTTCCTAGGAGGGCGCAATAATAAAAAATTTGCATTTTATGTTAAAAATTACAACAGTAAATGTTGTATTTTATAATTACAAATACTTCAACGTCCTTTATATCAATTAAAACAATTTTTTAAAATAATATCCAATGGCTTTAATAATTTTGAATGAATAATACATAAGGAGTTGTTTTTAAGTTTCACCCCGGACACAATATTCGGTAACCACAGCACTGAATATTAGAATTGTAGAATTGTGTTTTCGAAAGTAGTCTGTAAATTTGTATACTTATAACCCACTCTCAATATTTGCTAGTTTCAGCCCTGAGGAGGGGTTAAGGATCGATGTAATATTATCTATATTATATCATCTTCCATCAGTTCATCGCTGTCGTAATGTGCAATGAAAGATTTTTGTTTTGTTGTTGCTAGAAACGTTTGAACGAAAAATCAATTTATCATCCGATAATAATACTCGAAAGAACATCGTACTATACGGGTTTAGTCTGTATAACTTATATTTTTATCTGAGAACACTTTTAAAGTTCGAAATTAATGTTGCATAGCAAGTTTACATGGATAGTAAACTTTCGAGTGGCATGACAAAAAGGTAACGGAAAAACTTATTCGTCACACGCCTGCCTAGAGCGTGGTCCCATCGGTATTGTATGTGTGCACCCGCTCGTGTACGGTGTTAATAACATAAGCAATATCGCAACAAGATAATAGAACGAAGGGTTAAAGATATAGACCGCTCTAGTTCAGAAAACAAATGATTTCTAAACCATTAAAATTTAAAAAAAAGAAAAATTAGTGATTACTACTAACGGTACCCTACTTCGTAGCCGAATATTACAGTTTTCGCAGCAAGAGTGGGTTGAAATCCTTTTGATCTGGGGTGGAAACCATGTTGTACACGTGCTGTCACTTCAGATTGAAACTCGACCAAATGTTGCCCGTCTGTGATAAGTGTTTCGATGTCGACGAGAGGACCGATATTGAATATGACATGTGGTACAATATTTAACAACGCGAATTCAATTGATTTATCACGTGCCGACGAAACAAACCGTACTATGTGGTAAGAAAAGAAACGACTGTCACAAATGATGTGACATTTTTGTTAAGTAAAGGAAACACACACTCCGTCAAAGTGCTGGGTCTGGTATAAGAAGGCCACGGTGGAAATACCAATTGGAGGCCCCTTAATAAAAGTTTGTTTAGTATATACATATAAATCTATGACTGTAATTGATTTAATTTAAAAAAAACAACATAAAAAAAAAATGAAATGACAGTTTTTGATTTTAGATTTCAATTTTGGATGCCCTTTAGAGCTAGCAGAATTGGCGTGTGGCACTCCCTACATCCCCACTAGATCAGGTATTACTTTTTCCGTTATCCGAACCGGACGTTTGCGCGACTTAGTTTTCGGTTTTCGGGTTTTGGGAACGAGGAGCGATAGGACGTCCGGTCCGGCGAAGGGCCTACACGCTACATACGTAAGGGCTACATGAAATCGAAACGTCAGCGAACGACCAGGCACATGAGCGAAATGTTTAATAAATATATTTTTATTTTCCATTTTTTCCACCCGAAATCGGAGCCTTTCACAACGGTTTGCGGGCAGGTGTGGAGAAAAATCGTGGTCGGGGGCAGAAGAAGAAAGGTTGTTGTGCGCGCCTGGACGTTCTACGCGCGTTCGCGTTTACATCGTGTTGCTGTTGTAGAGGATGACGCTGAAACGTCTTTGGGCTTTTTTCAACACGGTCGTGACCGCGTTGCTGGCCATCGACGTCCACGTGGCCGGGCCACCGCCGCCGTCCGAGTACCGGTAGTGCGGCGCGTGATGGTGGCCGTCGGTCTCGTGGAACGGCAGCCGGTCTCATGGATGGTGATGCTGCGACCCGGGCACCGGGTGATGGTGGTGCAGCTGGTGATGCTGCTGCTGCTGATGGTGATGGTGATGGTGGTGCTGCTGCTGCTGGTTGTGATGCGGCTGCGGCGGTTGGTGATGTGGCGACAGTGGGTAGCCGTCCGCCGGCGCTACGCCCATAGCCACCACCGGCACGCCAACGCCGTCGTCGTAGAACGCGCTGCCGCTGCCGCCACCGCCGCCGCCGCCAACTTGGTTGTGATGCTGGTCGTCGTGCTGATCGTCCGCCGCGCCCACCCCATCCACCGGGTCCAGATCATCCGAGTACGTGGTGCCCCGGCTCTGCGCCAACGACATGCTCTTTTGGTAGCTGAACAGTTGCCGTTCCAGGCTGTAGTTCTCCGCCTGCAGGGCCGTGATTTCCCGCCTGTCACACAAAAACGGTCCGATTAATAACACCCGTGTCAACGCCGCGTGATACATTTTTTATCTATTTATTTCGTGGACGGTTTTCGATTTTCGTTTATCAAGGATTCGCGGGGATCTATTTGCGGGGAACTTCGCACAGTGGGATGAAATGCATTCGTAGCTTGCCAAAAGTCAATTTTTTAAGGGTTTACTAATTCGTCGATTATCATAAATTATTTTTCCCTACAACATTTGTGATATACGTCTAGTCTTGATAATCATTTCGAGTTACATATCCACGAATTACATGACTTTGACTGTGTAATATTATATACATTTTCTTAATATTTAATTCGATAATAAACAACTTTGATGTTCATTTTTAAGATTTTATTCCACTGCAATCAACTTAATGTTACTATATGTTAATTTAGTCATATATTTACTTCATTTAAACATTTTTGGTGTACAAATTATGTTTGTATTTTTCTTTTTTTTTTCTTAGAATTAAATAATTATTATTTATGAAAAATTTACGCATATAACATTTTAAATAGGCTGTGAATTAAATTTAGCACAATTTAACACTATCAGACCTAAGTCAATTTAAAAATAACGTTCTCACATTTAAAACGAACCAGAATTTGTTTGCATCTATCTGTCCCTCTTAATTTGAGAGATTTCTATAAAAGTATTCACAAAGCTCGCACGACAGACGGGTCACTGAACTCATAGCTCCATATCTATGATTCGGCCTATTATATTTATTAATAATCGTTATCGCATCTTTATCGCCGCGGCGTTTTCGGGATGGCGATCACAATAGTATTCCGATTTTTTCCATTGTCCGTTTTGTTCACACACAGGAGCGTTTCGTCGCCGTCGGAAAAGGGTACAGGAAAATGTTAATTTTAATCCGGATGCAAAATCATCATCGTTCGATATTCAAGAAAACGTGTACCCAATTCAACGACACGTAAACAGACAATGATAAAAGGTCGTCGAGGATTTAGGCATCAGAAGGAGGTGATCATTCAGCATTCTCAAAGGTTCAAACCATTGCTTTCTCTTTTGAAACTGACTACAGTCGTACTTGGTTGACTCAAACTTAAAGAGATCAGAAAATATTAATTCCTATGTGTTTATTATAATAATATATATGTTGTATGTATATGTTTTGCATTTATTGCTGTCTTTTCCGTTTACATTCTTCCGATGTTTATTACTTTTATTTAAGTCGACTAGACATTCAATAGAGAAATTGAGCTTATGAGGGGATATTACTACCAATCCAAATATATCAGACCGTCCGGTTTACTGAAGCGCGTATTTTGCGCGCAACAAATATAGTTTAAGCTTAAATAATAGTACATTAGTTACAAATTACATGCGATAGCGTTAGATTAATATTAAGATTATTAATCTTATTGCTGATATTGACACAGTTGACATTATTTCTGTTAGTCTTAACAAACATTCAGGTTTTTAGAATTTGTGTTGAAAGATTAAAACAAGAATCTAATTAGGTTGTGACCGGATAACGTAATTTCTGGAAACCTGGTAAAGAAGTAATGGTAGTGAAGTTAATGTTTTTTTATCTGAAAAATTTGGTATTCAATTTTTTTTCATAAATTAAAAACCTATTTTTCCAATTAATTAACAAATAATATCAGGTTTAGCTTCGGTTCCTATTAACTACAGTACCTATACAGTAATTTGTATTATTATAATTACTATTAAAAACTATTACGTTTATAATTATCCGTTATCACCATGTTATAATTATTCAAAGTACTTATACCACCTTGTTGATGACTTTTTTTTTTTTTTAAATAATACCGCATGTTCATTTGTATTTCAAACTAACCATATGTATGGTCGTTTGATGTGTTTCTAACGTAAAAAGTTTTTTTAGTCAGGAATGAGTAAAAAAAATCACAGTTTAAAAATATTACGATAAATATGACGTATAAACCACATCATTTTAAAAATTCAAGCAAAATAAAATATGATATAATTTTCACTTTATTATAAAAGCATTTTTAACGTACAGTAAAATAAAAAAAAAAACAAAACTAAACAAAATTTAATGGGTAAATCGGGAAACTTTATTATACCAAGTTCTCGAGAGTGAATTTTTACTAAAATATTTGTTTTATTTTTTAGACAAAATTATATGTATATTGCACATACATCACGTTCAATCCATTCGTATAAGAATGGATGATTATTATTATATTGAGATTGCATCGTCGAAATACTGACGTAGGCCGTTTATTCGATATATCTTCATCGTTCAAATAATGATGATGGCAGCGCTGTTGATATCAACCGAATTCGTTATTGCGTCTTTTTACTGGAGTATGAGCGAGTACATCATGTTCTGAGTTGAACATAACGCATAATCGTTCATCTCAAATAATACAATTCCACAGGCCTAGTCAAGTGCTGATTTATTCCACTCAGCCTTTAAGCTTACACATGGAAGTGTCACGATACTTGTTATTACATGTCATACACTATATCACACGAACATGTTATTGTATTTCAATTGGACAACACTGGATTATATCGATCAATAATTATTATAATTATCACTACAACTAAAATTATTATTAATATTATTGTTAATTTCAAATTGTGTACAATTCGCGTACGTGTATATGTTAAAATAAATTTCAATTGGTCTTGTACCAGTCAGGTACTTAAATATAGTAATAATAATTATAAGTATAATATTATATCGTGTACATAATCGTATACAGCGCAGTCATTCGAGGACGATGACATTTTGCGGTTCGAGAAAACGAATGCGTATCACGTTTGTGCAGTTTCGTGAAAAAGTTGCAAGGGCATTACCACCTCATTCTCTCAGGAACTTCACGTCAAATTTTTATTTAAAATGTAAAATTATGCATTAAAATATCCATCCGGACAATTACATGTTGCTGTTTCGGTAAAAATCTATAGGAACTCTAATTATTATTTAATAATATGCTGAAAAAGAAAAACGTTACAAGAAATATGTACAAAGTTTAAATGAAAAATTAAATGCATACTCTAAAACAAAAAAAAATCTTAACTATAGAATTGTATAAGTGTGTATCAAAAACACTTTTGTGGAAATATAACGCGAAATGAGTGTGAGCTCTATTTTTTCATATTGTGGTACTGAATAGTGATGGGTGATTCTTAAATGTTACATAAATCTATCTTTTGAATCGATTTAAATCAGAATGAAAAGTTTGCGATAAGAAAAAATTATAGTGCCAATACTGTTAAAATATCGAAAATCAGATAAACAATTAAGGGCAATGAATTGATTCGCATAATATATGGTATCACCGATTAAATTTGATTCACTTAAAAAATCTGACATACAATTTAAATCGAACTTCATAAAAATGAATCGATTTTAAAAAATTCGAATCACTAAGGTCGATTCGCATGAAAAAGATCGACCTTTAAAAGACATATTAAAATCACCCATCACCAATACTGAGCAAACATAAATAAACGCGGATATAAACAACAGGTGTTTTGAGTATATTGTCTCATGGCATAGTTTTGATATGTTCAAGAATGTAAACGAAGTAGAAAAATACCCACAAGAAGAAACAGTTAAGAATATTATATGGAAATTATATATGGAATTCCAAAGGATGAAACGATCTTTGAGGTAGAGTTAAAGGAAATGAAACGAAGGGAAAAAGGAAGTAATCGCTATTTTTAAGCCGTGAAGACGAAAGCGTTTATGAACAGACACATACGCACACATTCACGTACAAGTACAAGTATGTATATCTTAAAATATAAACGAATAAATCAAATGTAGTGAGTAGATATAGCCCACGGTAAATGAACAAAAATGAACTGTAAATGTAAATAATCAGTCATTGTGAAAATGAATGGATCTGTTTTATCACCGTTATATCTATATGTGTGCCATCCCTAAGTATCTTTAACCCTTCTCCCAAGAATATTTTGAAACATGTAGAGTAATTAATTTAATTGCGGCCGGCGCAGATAATTATTTAAAACATTCAACATTCTTACGAAAAACTTTACATAACTACAACTGAATTAAATCAAAATTAATTTTTTGCATCACAATTCGGTATGTTGCGTATAATAACTAATGTTATTATTTAGTTTAGTAATTTACAGCGATAACGGAAACCTTAATATATTTTAATAAACTGTGTCTTATAGAAATCTGGATTGATGTATACACGCATCGTAGTAACTGTCCGCCCATCAGGTAAATGTTGGGTGATACAATTATTAAGGTTAAACCACTAGGATATAGAACTGTATTGTAGCCATTATAGAGATTTATGTCGAGATCGGAAAACATAATAAATATTTTTATTACGTAAGATTTTACACAATAAAAACACTTTGTTTGCCGTGTAACTGAGATCCTCTAATAATAGTTCAGCCGACGACGACTATAGATTTTAAAGATTATTCTTTGTTATTGTCAGGCGTAGATACAGGAGTGAAAAAAAGGAGAGGCGAGGCATGATAAATAATTTTAGACCCAGAGTGTAACGGAGGAAATATGGGTATTATAGCGATATAGTTTGTTTTTTCTTTAAAAAAAAATAAGAAAAAAACTTTTGGTACGGTAAAAGTGTTCCAAAAAGTTTTGTATAGAGACATGAAGTGTTCAAACAGTGGAAAATTGAACACAGATGCTATGTACAAACACTTCACAAGTGAGTAAAAATTGAGAAATTTTGAACAGTGGTTTGCCTCTGCTTTGGAAATAGTTTTCAAGGAATGTTTATAAACAAAAAAAAATTGGAAAGCTTGCTGTAAACATTAAATAATATTTCACAGAGTTCTGACGGAAATCATTTTTTGAAATCAACACAGACTAATTTCATAAAAGTATATAAAAATGACTAAAAAGCCATTCTAACATTTTCATTTTAGTATATTTATTCATTTATTCCGGATAGTTACAATTGCTACTTTTAAACAAATCATCTTGACAATATAAGCCATATATTT